GGGCCGTGGGGGAGGAGATATTGATCCCTGCTCCAGGGGAAGATGGACGGCAGGATTGCAGGCAGGCAGCCAGGGGAAGGCAGTGCTCGTGGGGCTGAGGGGGGTGCCACTGCCGGAAAAATGGGGACACGACACAGGGTGCCCAGACCGCGCCGCATGGAGAGCCCAAGGCTGCGGCACGCAGTGAGTGGCATAACCAGAGCAGGCTGTGATTCCCTGTGCCCTCAGCATCAGCCCTGCAGGGGTCTCGGCTCCCAGAACAGCTCTGGCCCTCCTGGTGCTGCCCTGGTCTTGCTGTACCTGCACCTGTACTCGACAGGGTGCCAGTTCCCTGTGGAGGGGCCCGTTGCTGCTCAGAAAGCCGTGTCTCCCTCCCCAGGGAAAGCAATGAGTCTCCAGAGCTAAGAAACACCCCTAAAGGAACCCAATGCTGTTCCCTCTGCCTGAGTCTGCAGCCAGCCTGCACTGGTTGCTCAGAGCTGTGACCAGCTCCTGCAGGTGCGCTGATCACTCTGGAGCCTACCGAGGGCCACTTGCATTTCAGCACTGCTAACCGTTGTCCTTCTGGTCACGGCGTGTAAGAAAGGGGAGGGAAAGGAAAGAAAGACTGAGATGTGCCAGCTTCTAAAGGACATGTCGTCTTCCTCGGGGGTCACGGCGTGGGGTGTGGGGAGGCTGCAGCAGGGCACTGCCTTTCACTTGCTGGCTGCCGTGGCCACACACAAGGCAGACCCACACGTGGGAGGTGGTGGGCTGGTGAAATCACACAAATCCCCCTGCGCCCATCCCCAGAGTCCGGCTATGCCCCACTCTCCAGCACAGCGCCAGGCCCCTCAGCCCCTTATTGCCCCCAGGGCCAGGCTCATGTATTGGCATCGAGCAGCTCCAATAGTGGGTATCTCAAAGGAAGGCAAAGAGGAGGCTGCTTTCATCCAGTGGCATCAAGGGGGGATGCTACAATGAGCTCCCCTGACCTCCCCAGTGGGGCGCGGTGGGGAACGGGCATTGCCATTCCAGCTCAGACTGGGGTTGGGCCGTCCACTCCAGGAGCCAGGACTGGACACATGGCGGGTGGAGGGGGGAGTTGCTTCCTGGCCGTGGCAGAGGCCCTGCAGCACGTGGGTTTGCCCCTACCAGGCTGTGGGAACTCTTGTCTCCATATAAATCCCTCTAGGGACCCCCCTAAGGGCTAGGCCTCGTGCCATCCTGTGGCAGGGAGTTCCCTTGGCTGTGATGCAGGAGGCTTCTGTTCACCCCTGCTTGTGCCACTGTCTGTCACCTCCCTGCCTTCTGCCTCAGTTGCCCTGTGTGGACAAAGCGGGATAAGGCATTGGCCTGCTGGGCACAGCGCGGTGATGTCTGGCAGTGGGAGGGGGGGGCAGGGAGTCCCAGGCAGGAGGGGGCGATCATTGTTGGTCCCTTTTGCTGGCTTTGAACCTGAGACCTCACCTCCGTCAGTACAGGGGCTCCAAACCAGGCAGCGAGCACACGGAGGGAGGGGCGGGGAAGCTGGGAAAGCAGAGCAATGCACCTGGGACAGTCGGACGTGGCCTATGTCTGGACCTGCACGGGGCTGCCTGTCTCTCTAGAGGTTCAACACCTGCCTTGGTGATGGCAAGGCACGGCATGCAGCACGCCGGGGTACCGAGAGTTATCCCTTGCTGGCTGCAGCAGCGTATGCGAGATGCGTTACTGGATCCCCTGAGCAGATGCACGGACGGATGGACCGCTGCCAGCCCGGCCCCGGGACACCTGGGTCCGTCTGTCCATGTGGCTGCGGGAGGTCACTTGTGTGTGAGCCTCCCCATCAATGATACAGCCCTTCCCTTCCCTGCAGGGTGGCGGGAGCATAAACACACCTTTGGAGACTGTGCTGACAGGTCGGTGCCCTGGTGCTGTGCTGCTCCTAAGGGGATGTTGCTGTTACAGGGTAGGCCCAGCTCACTCACGGGGCTCCACCTTGTCCCGACAGTGCCGGCTCGGAGCCTCGATGCTGCCAGGACACGCGAGCAGCCTCTGTAATAGGACTCGGGAGGCCGGAGAGAGCAAGGCAGGGAAGGAGCACCAGGGCTCTGGGTCCCGCCGGACCTGCCGCAGCCCCTTGGGACGCCCCAGCTACCCGGTGGGGCTGATTTGCAGCTGGCCCATGCACGGGGGAAGGCCTCGAGCAGGGAGGCACCATGGAGGGCTTGGCCCGTGGCCCAGCTACACAACAAGAGCTGGAGGAAGTGCTAAATTTAAACCCGCCCGGGCACAGGGGCTGGGGGGGAACGGCCCAGCGTTTCCTGCATGGCCTCAGCCCGTGTCTGGGCGCGGAGGGGGAGAGCCTCCGGGCTGGCACGTCTCGCCGGCCGCACCCTCCTGCCGGATAGAAACTGTTAAAGGTTGGGCTGCGGAGAGCATCTGTTTCATCAGAGAAATAACAGCCCCGGGCTGAGCCAAGGCAGGCTCCCTCCCTGCGCTGCACAGTCCCGACCTGTTTACAGCACGCCTGGCTGTACCCGCACGCGCACGCCACCCCCGGACACTTCCACTGGGAAACCAGCTACACACGTGCACACGAGCACCCCGAGAAACACCCACACAGAAACTCAGCGACACACACCCAGATACACAACTCAGCTCCTTACACACACCGATACACAGAGAAACTCAGCTATGTACACACCTAGATACACAAACTCAGCTACAAACACACACAAACACACACTCAGATATGCACACACACCCAGATACACAGAGAAACAGCTATGCACACACAGACACATAGAGAAACTCAGCTACATACACACACACACACACACACACACTCAGCTATGGACACACCCAGATACACAGAGAAACTCAACTACACACACAAAGTCAACTATGCACATACCCCCAGATACAGAAACTCAGCTACGCACACCCAGATACAGAAACTCAGCTACGCCCCCACACACAGAAACTCAGCTACAAACACACACGTACACACACACACTCAGCTGTGCACACACACCCAGATACACAAACTCAGCTATGCATACACACACAGAGAAACTCAGCTACACACACACACACACACACACACACACACACACACACTCATACTCAGCTATACATCCCCCCCAAATACACAAAGAAACTCAGCTCCACACCGCCCCCCAGGCATGCAGAGCAATTCAGCCGCACGCACACACACAGGCACTTACACAGTGACACTCAGCCACACACCCGCACATCCCCAGACACTTACAGAGTAACTTAGCTGCACGCACATCCACACAGACACCCAGAGAAACTCAGCTGCCTACACGTACTGCCCCCACCCCAGCATGTACATGGAGAAACTCAGCTACAGGCCTGTCCGCGTCCACCCGACGGCTCCAGCACCCCGGCACAAAGCACACCCCCTAAAGCTCAGACACACACACATGCACACACCACCCCTTCCAGCTCCCTTCCTCTCAGCCCCCAGCCTCCAACACACTCTCGCACACATCTGCACGCAAGCAAAGCCAGACACCAACCGCTCTGACTCAGATACCGATCCGGACACACCCACCGTTGGAAACCCACGCTCAGAGTCACCGAAACGTGTACCGTGCCTGGCGGCATGCACACTCCTACACACCCGCCCGCACCTACATGGAGAGCCACGCGCCCCCCCGCCGCACTCTCTGAGGTCCTGCTTCCCGCTGCTACCCCCATGCCCAAACACCGCGCTGCTTTTATGGCCTGCTCCTCTTCCTCCTCGGAGGAGACCCCTCCAAGCAAAGTCCGGACAGCTGGCTTGAATCCCAGGAAGAGCCTCTCTCTGTCTCTGATCCCAATTTCATGCATTTTTTTTCCCTTTTCCCAAGGAAACTCATCATTTGTTTGCTGGAAAAGGTAAATTGGGCCAGTCTTGTCAGTGGGCCCGATGCTAAGCCACCGCGGCGGTGCCTGGCTGCAGTGTGAAAAGGCAGGATCAGACATGGGCACAGGGTATGACTTTGAGGGCCTACTGCCATGTCCTCGCGGTACCCCCCAGCTGCTGTGCACAGGAGACGGTCCTATGTGGAGGAGTTTGCACCTCCAATTGAACACATCAGACAAAGGAAATGCCACTGGCAGTTAGGGGACACTGAGGCACGGTGCACCCGAGGGCACAGAGGAGGACTGTGGTGTGACCTCTACTCCCACCGGTGGGTACGGTCCCCAGAAAGCCAGCTGGGAGCTGCCAGACACAGCGTGACAGCATGTACCGTACGCTGCGGCTGCCCAGACCTGGCACGGCGCGGCGAGCCCGCCCAGAGGGGCCGTCCAGGGGGGGAAGG